TAATCAGGAGATCGGCAGCAGTGCTTTCCATCTCTTCTTTGATGGCGGCTATGACCAGTTTCGACTGTACATTTTTATAGTAATAAGTAATGCCACTCAACGCTTCCTTTACACTATCAAGGTTCTCTTGCTCTACTGAGCTATTCACTATTTCCGCGACCTTATCGCGAACATGAAACACTTCAACAGCTGCGCCAAAATCAGCTGCAAACTCTTTTACTTTTTGCAGGATACTTTTATGTACGCCGCGCAGCATATCACTGGCAAACAATATTTTTTGAATACCTGTAAAACGTGCGCCTAACGGAATGGCCAGTACCGGAAACTTCAACCGGTTAATCGCAACGGTGGTGGTATTGCCCAGCAAGTCCTGCTCCAGAGATTGTTCCGCCATACCCATCACCACCAGATCAGCCTGGTGCTGATAAATGCAGCGCTCCAGCTCTTCATAAAAATTACCGGTAGCCATATGAGGCAAGACATCTATCCCGTAAAGATCACTGAGCGAGCTGGCTATATCCGCTATTTTCGCCTGGTACACCGCCAATAGCTGATCAAAAGAAGTGGCTGAAATCCTTGCATTCAGCGCATGTACCGATATATTCTGAAGCGTAAAAAGCACCACTTTATAACCTCGCTGCGCGGCAGCGGTCGCAGCATACATGGTGGCATTTTCAGCCTCGGCTGAAAAATCGCTCGCAATAATAATTGTCTTCATTCGGCTATTTTAAGATGGCTTGGCTATGGGCAATCACCCGGGTTACCGCGCAAACGTAGTACACATGCGCGATTGGAATCCGGGCTTTTTTACCCATCCGTAAAAATCCGCTTCCGAAATGCAAACGGGTTGCTGCCCAACTGCAAGTGGCAGATTTACATCATACATATGCCGCAATGCAACAATAAAAAATTCAGAAAAGCAGGCATTCGTTTCAGCATTCATTAATTACGGTTCGGTCAGTTTTTAAAATAGCAGGCTGCTTAACCCGGTTACTTTGCACTCCAAAAATTCAATCTCAAAAGATGGCAACCCAGCTTGTTACTAGTGTTAAAGGCCCCTCCCGGCTATTGTTTCTTTTTATAGTTGTCTTTATAGCGTCTTGCGCGCCAGGTGCACCTGAAGGCGGCATGGGCCAATACGGCACTCCTGAAGTTGATTTCTACCAGGTAACTACAACCTCCGCCGAGGTTGAAAAAAAATACCCGGGTAATATAGAAGGGATTGTCAACGTAGATATTAAAGCACAGGTGAGCGGCTACCTGGAAACCATTTATGTAAAAGAGGGAGACTACGTTTCCCAGGGCCAATCGTTATTTAAGATCAAGGCCGATGTATTCAATGAGCAGGTCAATAATGCACAGGCTGCCTTAAAATCCGCATTGGCCAACCAGGCTACCGCAAAAATTGAAGTAGAAAAAATAAAGCCGCTGGTGGAAGGCAATGTGGTTTCCAAAATGCAGCTGGAATCTGCGCAGGCTGCTTACGATGCGGCCAGTGCCGCGGTAGCGCAGGCAA